TCCAAGACTGGCTTCAATACAGGATGCTAGCTGTCGTAAATAAAATGTTTTTAAGAGACCACATTTGAATTATGGTACCTTAAGAACGTTTTGCTCATGGGTGTAGGTGGGTTTCCAAGATATAGCCACACCTTATGATAGCTAAACTGCCTTTCCTTCAAATAATGGCTGAGTCCCTTTCTTCATGGAGAAATTGAAACAAGAAAAAATGGGTGTTTGCTGTGGGCTCTGCCTTCTGAAATTATCCATATTGATTCCTGAGGACTGTCTTGTAGTTGGAACCAGTCTAAGGTCCAAAACACACTGCAGTTCTGGGAACTGTAGTTTTGTGCCACAATAAACTACAATTCCTAGGATTCTTTAACACTGAGCCAGAGCAGTTCAAGTGGTCTCAAACTGGATTATTTCTGCAGTGTGTTTTGGACCTACTGATATAGGGAACTACTGGTATAGATCCCTTTCATATGTATTGCGGTTAATCCAGGTTTCCCCTATGCACAGGTATAGGATGGGGGACACCCTGGTTTGACAACAGTATACGTGAAGTGGATCTAGGAGTCCTAGTAGACCATAAGTTAAACATGAATGAACAGTGTGATGCAGCAGTTTAAAAAGCGAATGTGATTCTAGACTGCATTAATAGAAGTATAGTGTCTCGATCTGGAATATTCACCTGGAATATTGTGTCCAGATCTGGGCACCACAATTCAAAAAATGTGTACAAGCTGAAGCATGTCCAGAGGAGAACAAACAAAATGGTGAAAAGTCTGAAAGCCATGCCTTATGAGGAAAGGCTTAGAAAGTTGGGTATATTTAGCCTGGAGAAGAGAAGATTAAGAGGTGATATGATGTTGTTGTGTTAACAACAACAACAACGATAGTCCTGTTTAAATATTTGAAATGATTTCATGCTGAAGATGGAGAATGTTTGTTTTCTGCAGCTCCAGAGAACAGGATCTAGAATAATGGATTCAAATCACAGGAAATAAGATTCAAAACCAACATTAGGAAGAATGTCATGACAATTATTATTATTATTGTATAGGTAATAGCCACTGGTTGGAAGTTAAATCCAGTGTTTGTCCTACCAAAGCACTTTGTGACTAATAGTCCATTCATTTCATTGCTTCTAGTCTAGGTAGAGCTAATGTTAGATTTAACCTTTGGATTTTCACCATATGATGTCAATTTCTAGAAATCATCAATATTTTGAATCCATGCTATTCAAAAGAGCAACATTCTATCTGCCCATTTTTATTCATTTATTTATGACAAATAACAGTTTTGACCAGGGGTAGGCAACCTTTCCTCTTTAAGGGCCGAGGGACTTTAGC